AAATCAATAAAAGAAGTTTACTAATTTCAGCTTGCATAAGAATATTTCTTTGATTTTAATTATTTGTAAAGAGATATAGGAAACAATTTCGAACGATTCAGTTGAGAATCAAAATAAATTAGATTAGCTTTACAAAGAGCATATGGTGTTTTTGCTCTTCAGAACGCAGTAACTCTATTCCAAATCGTCCGATTTTTATAATTCCTTTATTGTTTTTTAGGAAATTTCGTAAACAGTTAAACACGCTTGAAACATTGTAATTTACCAAATATAAATATCAAATGTATTGGGTTACATTTTAAGTTATTCGGAAATCTAATTTCTCATGAAGTATTTTTGACTCAAGTCGCCACTCCTGGGTGGTAGCGAAATTCGCTTATATCTGAAAAACTATCCATCGTATCGACAAAAACTTCTTTATAGAGATAAAGCTGATGAAATTTGTAATATGATTGACTACATATTGTTTTACACTATCTCTCGTGGTTTCCGAGAAATTCGTCGTCAACTATCGATAATTTGGGAAAAAAAATATTACCTCATTTTTTATTTTATTCCATTTGACTCGCTAACTCTTAATCGCTTAGTTTTACGACTATACATGGGAATAAAAGTGTTTAATAATTAAAAGAATTTTAAGAATTAGCTTGAAAAATTCATTTTCATAATATTCGTTATTATATTGCTTTAGCTCTCTATATATCTAAACCTCGACGCATATATATTATATATGGATATACATATAAATATATACAATAACGTATAAAATACAACTAAAAATTATTTTCTTCTGCAAAATCTTTGAATTCACATAAAGTTATTATTGATCTAACTTTTGAACCATTTAAGATAAACTAGTAAAATATTATATATTCTTGAAAGAAATTTAATTATTAAAACATTCTTTCTCATGAAATAATCGTACAACAAAGCGATCAAAAGTTAGCGAATCAAATAGAGTAAAATAAATTAGGTAAAATTGACGACCGATATCTCGAAGCCCAAGAGAGATAGTGCAAACAGATATATAGTCAATGATATTGCAAATTTTATCAGCTTTAATTTTGTTAAAAGTCTTTGTCGATGCGATGGATAGTTTTTTCTGAAATAATCGAAGATCCTCCAACATCTCGCTGACCACCTAGGAGTGACGACTTGGGTCAAAAATTGTGTCCCACCATTTCCTTCTATATTCATTCAATGACTGGACAAACTCCAACAAACCCAAAACACAGAATATCAGCTTTTCAATATAATATTTGGCAAATGTCCAGAACACCATATCTACTTTTTGTTCGCTTCGAAATCTTTAAAACGCAATTTGCCTTATCTTGGTCCGTTTACTTACAAACGTCAGAGTTTTGAATCATCTATTTTTCAATGAATAAATTTTTTATGGTGTGAATGAACTATTTATATCACTGTTACCAATGTCCTTAATTATGATCGAATGTAATATAATTCAATCAGGGAAAAAAAAAGTAAAATTGTGATAGAAATTTAATGATTGCAATTCTTCACATATATGTAATTTTTTTTATTTTATTTTATTTTTTTTTGACACTTCATTTATCAAAATCATCCAGTCCTGAGAACCGGAAACGGGTTCTATATTACTTTATAGTATACTTGTTTTACTAATTTATAATTCTATATTACCTTATTATATGGTCCGTTTATTTTAAAAGTGAAGTAAGTCGATTTTATCTTGTTTCGAGACAATTAAAAGTTTCTATTGATTTATCAAAATGTAATTTGATTGTATTAATTTGTTTTGGGCAAGTTTAACTAAAATAATATATATTTACATGCTGCAAATGGACTTACACCACTTTCAAAATTAGTCGATTGTGAAAATCATTTATTTTCAATTTTAAAAATCAAATATCACTTAAAATATATTTCATATTAATCCAATTTTGGTTTCAAATAATAACAAGATAAAAAGATAAGCAGTATTTTTAATTTTAAAAGTTAATTATATTGTTAAAATTAACGTAAGATGCGGGTAGTATTTGATTATACTCTTCATGTGGCAGTACTCTCGGGTTTAGTACTTTGTAAGAAAGTAATATTTCATATCCAATTATTGTGCATTGAGAGGATCGGGTCAAGATCACGCTCGACCGCTAAGTTTTTTTTGTTAATTAATTATTTTATTAAGATTACTCGCTCAACATAGGCAAAGTGTTCTTCAGGAGGATAGATCCCAGCGTCAATCCACATCTGATGTTACAGAATAAATAATTGTCTAATTCAAACTCAGGACTTTGAGCTTAAGAAGTCTGTGTCTTACCGTGAGTTAACACGTCCTCGGTAATGAAATTGAAAGTAGGAATATTTATGAGGATAATTGTTAGAAGTGGCATACATTAGTTTTTTTTTTTCAAAATTCTGTATGGCCAGAAGACAGTAGGAGCTAGCCATAAAGAATGAAAGATGTTAATAAAGAAATCTGGTGTGTCCACTTATACGACTTTTCTACCTATTTCAGAAGTTTTTATATCTTTAAATATGTTCATGAAGAAACAAAAAAGAACTGAACTAGATACATTTTCCTGAAAATTGATCAAACAAAAGATTTTAGTACGATTTATTTGATAAACTAAAGAAATGCAAACCGGCTTAAGGTAGATCAGTGTAAAAATTTCAATACTTCCTAATATTGCTGGTCAAAAACTTTTTGCAATAGCTTAGTATAGGTAGGAAACTAAAAAGTTAAAAATTGTGTAAAAAATAGAATAAGCTATGTCATCGGTAATACTGGTTCAATTCTGATGATTTTTTGTTTGTTTTATTGGTAATTGAATTACTTTTCAAATTTTATATTATAAATTTTACCGTATAATACATGCTTAGAGAGTTAGGCCCCATAACATTTTTCTTTTCTTTATAACTTTTTTCCTGAATTTTTTCGGGAATTTAGTCTGTATACAAAAATTGAAAAGACAATAATCAGTTAGGAAAGTTTCATCAAAATCGCTAAAGCCGCTTTCGCACTACAGTCTATATAAAAACAGGTTTTTCATTTAGTTCGCGCAAGCTATTGCGCATGGAGCACCGAATTTCTGTCACAGGCATCAGTAGTCAAAACCCTACAAAATAAAAAACAAGCAACAAAATCGGTTCAGTAGTTTCAGAAAAAACTTGTCACAGTCAGAAAATTGATCAAAGAAAACATTTGAGTACGATAAACTAAAGCAATGTAAACTGTTTTAAGATAAATCAGTGTAAACATTTCAATACCCTCTAATATTGCTGTTTCTGTTAAAAGTAAAGGAAATAGTGAAGCGTGTGTGATGCGGGCAACGGATTTTCTTACTTTCACTTTGTTATCTGTTTTCTCTCATTCACCAAGATACGTGAACCTGTAATCTTACATTGGAAATTGAATAGATGTAACTTCGTTAATAGTTGTCCGAAATGAACGATTTTTATACAGTTTTGTAGGGAATTTCATTACCTTCCAAAAAAGTTTTTTTTTTTGCTGTTTTTCATGTGGCTCTGAAACGTATAGATCCCTGCATATTCAAAACCTGCATATCGGAAATTTGATCCGATCGCAATACCTTTCTTACTTAGTATAAGAAGGAAAGTAAAAAGTTGATACAGACAGTACTTATGGATCGATGACGTAAAATTATTCGTTTCTAGTACAATTGTTGTCAAATTTTATAATTACAGGTTTAAGCAGATGAGTCGAAATTTCCATTGTTTTGGTTTATTATTTTCAATAATCTACCATTGTGATCGACCAAAAAATTCAAAAACTTAATTCCCTCTCAAAATTTGAGGTTTCAAGTTTCAGGATTCTTAGAATCCGAAAAACGAATACTTTTTTTTTTGTCCGTCCGCCGTCCGCATATTTTCACAGAAACTACAGAATTGATTTTTTAAAAATTTGAATATAAAATCAGAGATCTTCTTTCATTGACATTATTATCCGTCTTTTACTTCCAAAATGGCGGCCGAAAAACCTGCGTTGCTATAGACTGTAGCGCCTAAACGAATGTACCGATTTCAATGAAACTTCGCTAAAGTCACTTTTTCTACGCCCTTTAAATTTATCTATATAACATAATTCAACGAAAAGAAGCTGGAAAAAAAGTTACGAGGGATGGTAAAATTAAATTCCGAATAACTCAAAAAGTACACACTTGTTTGTTGATATTGTAATAAGATGTTTCAAAGGTATTTACATTTCCTAAAAAATGAAGGAAGTTTCATCGAAATCAAAGCACTATTAGTAGAGATATCGTGATTTTTAGATATTTTTGGTTTATTATTATCAATAATCAACCATTGCGATCGACCAAAAAATTCAAAAACTTAACCCCCTCTCAATAATTGAGGTTTCACGTTTCAGGATTGGTAGAATTCGAAAAACGAATAAAAATATTTTTGTCCGTCCGCCGTCCGCGCATTTTCTCCGAAACTACAGAACCGATTTTTTTTCAAATTTGGATATAAAATCAGAGGTCACCCGAGGATGATCCTCCTTCATCGACATTATTATCCGCCTTTCTTTCATAGGATTGTTTTTTATTTTTCGGTCCATTCTTGCTGTTTTCTTGTAAAAACAGAAAGGTCACTTGAACATGTCCATGTCGACGATAAATTGTATGCCCATCTTTTGCCAATGTGTGCGGTAGAATGTAATTTGTGGAAAAATTGTATTATTAATTTGGACTGATAATAACACATAGTGATCTCGTGCTAAAATTGTTTTTGGTACTGTACCAATACACCAATGAATAGCTGTGATTTAAAAATTGTCGGCACTGAATAAGATTGATAACAAATCTAAAATTAGATAAACAATATTATTCGTTACGCTCTGATGCTACAATTGAGAGAAGATAAACACATCAAGACAATAGTACCACTTCAGCCAACAATTACTCATTCAACTTCGCTGAATGTTGGGAAGAAATCACATCGCACAATCAGCGATAAGATAAGTGAATATGAAAACTAACGGAACTGGACGTGAACGGAGCAGTCTCGAACCATCAAGATGGGAATCCTCAGCGTCTTGAAGGGTCTCTCCGTCGTGTTCCCCGTCATCGTGAGCACGATGGGGATGTTGATGGCTTCCGGTGTGAGCTACAACATGCTGGTCCAGAAGTTGTGCAATCCTGCGGGTCCACCGGAGGACATCAACAAATTCATCTGTCCTGACAAGTCAATCATGGACCACATCACCTGTAAGTAGATATTATCGATTTGTCACTAGTCTTATTCTCGATGTTCTTTAAATTTATCTTAAAGTTACGAGAGATGGTAAAATTAGATTCCGAATAACTAAAAAAATACACACTTTATTTGTTATTTTATATGGTTATTTAAAAGTTTAAAAAATTTCCAAAAAAAAAAAAATCATTAAAATCGGACAATTATTAGCAAAGATATGGTATCTAAGATTATATGTTAAGGTCATATCCTTTGTTTTGGTTTTTGATTTATGAACGTGTTACTAAAGTAATGCTATTTTTTTTAGCATATTACTAATGATTAAAATAAGAAGTTTAGTCCATTAATTGGAATCACCTTTTATTTTTTTATTTTTAACTAGGAAGATAATTTACCGCACATTTTCTCCGAAACTACTGGGTATAAAATCAGAGGTCACCCGAGGATGATCCTCCTTCATCGACATTACTCTCCGCCTTTACCTTTCAAAATGACGGCTGAAACCAAGGACAGAGTACTTGCTGATAAGAGGCTTTTTTGATAAGGTCCAGGCCACAAACTTGAAGAAAATGCCAAAGAAAACCAAAATGTTTTTTACGAAGTACTCAAAATAATGAGAAAGGAGATATAGCCAACATTAAAAGAAATCGATAATATCAAGAAACGGAAGAATTATCTGGCGGAATGATGAGATAATGGAGAAATGGAGAGAACATTTTGAGAAATTGCGGAAAAGAAGAGATAAAGCCAGAACTATAGAGGAAGATGATGATTATATCGATGAAGAAGAACAGGAGAATCGATCTCTAAAATGAAACTCGATTAGTCACTAGCGGTACTGGATGGAATAATTCCGATAATGAGGAGGTGTATGGGCAGTAAACGAAAGAAAATGTTTCTCCATCTATTGAACCTCGTCTGGAAACACAAAATCGGGTGCATTGCGCACATCACACAACTTTCACTTATACCCACTTCTTGGCAAAAATTAGCAGTGTTTTCAGACAAAGAGGAATTAATAGTAAAAATTATAGACGCTATATTTGTTTATATTCTGTAGGTATTTCTTGATAATAAAATTAACAACAACAATAAAAACGCTGCAAATTATTCCACAATGGTTTATTATTTCCAAACAATTATACATCTAAAGTAACATTCCGAGTTACAAAGAAAAATAAATAAAAGATGATTCCAATTATTAGAATAAAAAATTTTTTATTAATCATTAGTAATATGCAAAAAAAAAAATAGCATTAATTCAGTAACGCATTAAAAAACCAAAACAAAGGATATAACCTTATCTTATAATCTTAGAGACCATATCTTTGCTTCTAATTGTCCGATTTTAATGAATTTTGGTTTATTATTTTCAATAATCAACCATTGTGATCAACCAAAAAATTCATAAATTTAACTCTCTCTCAAAAATTGAGGTATCGCATTTCAGGATGCGTAGAATAAAAAATGTTTTTGTCCGTTATTTTTTTTTAATCAATAGTGATATGCTAAAAAAATAGCGTTACTTCAGTAACACATTCAAAATTTAAAAACCAAACAAAGGAAATGACATTTGAAGTAGAATATATTTTTAAAAAAACTAGAGACCATATCTTTTCTCCTAATTGTCCGATTTTTTTTTTTGGTTTTTAGGAAATTTCGTAAACTTTTAAAAAACCTTATCGAAAAAAAAGTGTATGCTTTTTAAGTTATTCAGAAATAAATTTTACCATCCCTCGTAACTTTTTTCCAGCTTCTTTTCGTTGAAGTATGTTATATAGATAAATTTAAAGGGCGTAGAGAAAATGACTTTAGCGAAGTTTCATTGAAATCGGTACATTCGTTTAGGCGCTACAGTCTATAGCAACGCAGGTTTTTCGGCCGCCATTTTGTAAGTAAAAGGCGGGTAATAATGTCGATGAAGGAGGATCAACCTCGGGTGAGCTCTGATTTTATATCGAAATTTGAAAAAAATTGGTCCAGCAGTTTCGGAGAAAATGCGCGGACGGCGGACGGACAAAAAAAATCTTATTCGTTTTTCGGATTCTACGCATTCTGAAAAGCGAAACCTCAAATTTTGAGAGGGGTTTAAGTTTTTGAATTTTTTGGGCGATCACAATGGTTGATTATTGAAAATAATAAACCTAAACTTTTATAAATAATAATTAAACCTAATTTAACAATTTAAAATCAAATCTTGATAAATTAATCAATAATAATGGTAATCACACAACTGATGGTGATCCTCCTCTCCAGCTTGTCAAATGAGGACTAAAAAAAATAAATAAAACTATTGACCAAATGGGCTATCCCTACTCCTACGTACTGTTTTCTTTTTCCACCACTGGTTTTATGAGTGTAGAATCCTCAAATTGAGTACTTTGTACATTCAGGCTTATTGTGTCATTTTTTATAATCCTTTTCAAAATAGTCCATTCTTTTCTATTTAGAAATAGCAAGCAACAGTTTTACCTTGCATGGCCTGAACCAGGGAGGTGTTCTTTTATTCTACTTTTTAGTTTTCTTCCCGCCTGCCCTATATAAATGGCAGAATATGAACATTCTATTGAGTAGACCCAACTCTTATTTTAAGGATCAACTCGATCATTAGTCCTGGAGACCATGTTTTTTAAACTTGAAAAAGATTTAAGGGTCTTAATTTTTTTCTTTTAAAAATACTATTAATTTTATAAGTATCAGGAACAATGTACCTCTACCAAATCATCAACAACCATCGCCCTTCTTACGAGTACAACTTTTTCCAGTTCGAATCCTCAGTCCATTCCCTGTCCACAAGATCTCGACCTTCTAACCTTTACATGCCTTCTCACGGATCTTCCTCATTCCAAAACTATTAAAAAATATATTGCTCGCTCTGTAAATTTCTGAAATTCCCTCCCTATCAAAATTCGACATTCCCCATCCATATCCACATTATAAATCCCTCCTATTCCAATTCCTATCCCAAAAACAGTCAGATAGTATTAACCATTCGACAACATACATTTATTTCATGCCATTCACTGTCAAATATCAATACTAAATGATAATGTATTTATATATTGATCAGACACTTTATATTGTCATATTCAGCTTTCTGTTTTCTCAACAGAAACACAAAACTGATTTTAATAAAGAATTTAATATATTTTTATTTTTTAATTCTTTATTGTTTTCTTAAAAGTGTATACTGATGGTTCAGTGCAAATAGCTTTAAGTGTGCCAAAAAAAGGATAATTTAAAAACATATTTATTTATTTAGCCTGGCTTACCAGCCTTTCATATCTAAAGAGATAAATCTAGGAAACATAAAGTACTTACTCATTATTTGGCAATCATTAAATATTTACTCCACCATGCTAGCTCAGGTGATAAGGAGTTAGGTTGGATATTTTTATAAAAATTCTTTTTACAGAAAGAAATATTTACAGAATTAATACTATGTACAATAAAAAGAAATAAAATACAAGGAAAAAGAGGGAATTCAAACATAATTACTATATACAATTAAAGATAAAAAGGAAGATATTTAAGATAATACAAATAACAAAAAAAAAAAGAGACTTATTCTATATACAATATTATGGCATGCCACATCTAAACATCAAAAAAAGATAATGAAGATACAACACGTATAAGATGTAAGAGCACATGCACATACTAAAATATGAATTAATAATTAGTCACAGGAAACAAAAGAGAGTCGAGTTTCTTTTTTTTTTTCACTCCTTCCTTAATCTTGGTTACAGTGTCTTGTCATTGTGTTCATTGTTTTGTATATAGTTTAGTTTGTTTTGTATATGGAATGTTTACCTTATATTTTCTTTACATTATTTCTTTTTTTCGATTTATTTTATTTTGGCCAGATGTAATCTTTTAATTTCGTTCTATTTTGTAATTATCAAGGGACTGTGTCTCAGAATAAAGTTATTTCCTATCTACCTATCTATCTATGTATGTAATTCTTCTGAAATATTTAACATCAATATTATTATATTATAGACTGTTATAAGTCGCGTATTCAATTTTTTTTAATTCATTTTTTCTAAACATTTTTTCAATAATTTCTGTTGTGTACACATTATTTGATATAATTGAAAAAATCGATATAAATATTCGATAAGTTATCATAAATAATATCCCTTTTACAGCTTCTAATCTCTTATCTGTTTAATTAAATTTTTTTGTTACAGCAATATTATCTACAAAAGCAGGAATACAGGCCATTATAGCGGCATTCTGTGGTTTTACGTTCGGTTTCATCCGAGATCTGACTGGAAAGAGCAAAATCTTGATGTACGTAGGCGTCACTGGAGAGTTGGTTAGCGCCTGCGCATCCTTCGCATCCGCCTACTATTGGAACTCCTCACCTTGGTTCCTGGCCATAATGCAGGCCATTGCATCCGGAGGTTTCGGCGAAAATATAATGCAGATGGGAGCGGCTTGCATCCTCATGGCGGAATCGACTCCTGAGGAATTGCCATTAAGGTAATGTTTCTATAATTTTCAGCTTTTAATTTATATTTTCTCTTAGCCGTACGAATCTTTTAAATACATGACCGCAAAAAGCAAACTTGCGGCATAAAGCTCTTCAGCATCTTTGTTGATTCTACCTGATCCATCGCTCATCTTAACATCCTTGCATTCATATCATGAGATATTGAAAGTCCAGTTTCTTTATTGTTCCATGCGTTAAGAACTAATTAAATTAGCATTTCACTGAATCCGATCCATGGGTGAATGGAAGGCATTATTGTTTGAATAGAAATTTCTGGAAAAAAAAAAATGAGGATGACAAAGCGAGACAGGAACTAGAAAATTAATTTTAATAAGGAGGGCAGAAGAATCGATATTTCCGTATCTTTTCAGGCTTGGCAAACTAGTTCAGTTTCTGTACTAGGGGCTCTACTTTGTAGATGAGCCAATTAGTCGGATTTTCTTAGTCAATTTTAGCTTAAACATTTTATTCATTCCTACAGTTTTTATATTTTAATTTTTTTACTTCAAAATATTGGAGAGGGGGAGGGAGTGACTAGATATTCTCGCCCCCTCAACATTTGTTTTTGGCAGGGGAAGCGATCGATTCTTTCGCACCTCCTCCCCTCCTTGTATGTTTGTGGTTCTGTTATGGTGGCCTCTCTCCATGGGGACACCTCTCCTCCATGTCTTCTAGTTGCCTGCTGGGCCGTTAGAGTTTTCTACACCATGTGGTCTTCCTTTTGAAATAAAAGAAAATTCCTGGCATGTTGACATGTTCCTGCCTTAATTGAACATGAATGGATTCCTGTCTGGGACAAGTTGAGACTCAACTGGCTGTTACTTGTTTCATTGTTTGAGAATGCATGATTAATTTATGCGTCAGACAATAACCTCAAAATTGCGAACATTTACATGTTTTTAATCGGAGTCTAGATTGTTTTTACATTTTAGCGTGGTCTTTGCGCGACGCCATTTTGAAATTGCGAAATAAACAAACTTATTTACTTTTTAATAAATTAAATGACAATCTTCCGTGACCCAATCAACAGTTTATTTATGTTCGGCGCCAATTGTAAATAACCTATTAAAAGTTAAATGTAAATAATTTGTTTTGGCGAGAATTGTGAATATTCTTCCTCTTTATATCGGAGATTTATGTTATTTACACTCGTGATTAATAAAACAAAACCCCGGCACGAGATATAGACTTCTTGAGGGTGTTTAACTGTTGTTGGGAATTCGGGAACCTAATACTTTTGTGACACTGTGTTGCCCAAAATTAGACTTGGTCTTGCACATTGCAAGGCTTCCTAACTGTTGCAAGACCAAGACCAGGACTGGTAAAAAAGATCGATTTTTTAATTAAAAAATAAGGCAAAATAGTTACTAATACTTGACAATCTTAGGTACTATATGTTAATTATTAATTATTAATTATGTTAATTATACTTTTGCATTTAACTCCTCTAATTTTTCATTCGGGCTTAGTTAGGTTTCTCCTATCTAAAAAATTACAGTAATATATTTATAATAATAAACTAATATTTAACTGCAAGACTGTTGCGAGAGTCTTGAGCAAGACCGAGACGATGACCAAGACTCGTATCGGTCTCGCATTTGGGCAACAACTAACACTGAGTGAGAAGAAACAATAAGAATATATATATGGAATGTGGAACTTAGTAAATACACTTTAAATGAATTGACTCACCTGGTTTGTTATTCTTCAGTTGTGAGGCATGTAGGACAACTAAATAAAATGACTTTTCACTCCTGTATAATAAAACAATTTGTTTTGACAACTGTAATAAATTGACTCTATTAAAGTGTTATAACTATAGGCTTGATCTTCTTAATCTTGTAGTAGACTTCACTTCTCAGCTAACGTCGTTCCGCCTCAATGTCCCAGACTCAAGTGCCTTCTCTTCTCTTTTCCAGCGTCCTTCTCCAGCTGTTGCTACCTGATCCGTCCTTGTTCTAGCGTCCTTCTTCATCAGTTACGGAACGGACTTAATCCATAACAACTATTAATATTAACTTTTAGCATTAAGGCACAAAACCCTAGATAGCCAGGTCAAGCTATCTCTGATAGCGTAGAAATGGTTATCTAGAATGTACTGACCGGACAGAAGGCACTTATGAAGACTTAGGGAACAATAACCGATTTCAGCTAAAGAGTACTTTCTCACAGACTTCATATCAATTCTAAAAGATAAGGATGTCAATTCTTAATAGATATAACTTCATTCACACACTTCCTAGACCGTCCAGAATTGATTTATCCCCCCTACTATTCCTGAGCATATAACCCCCATTCTTCTAAGACCAAACCACTCATGTAGTTTATTCCCTTGATGTCTCTTACTGCAGGAGACCTGGAGTGAACTTATGTAGTCAAATCATATATCCGTATTACATTACTCTGTATTTTAGATGCCGTTTGTAACATTATGAATAAAACCATTATTTATAAAGTCTCCACTGCCTCCCATTCGTTAGTTTATCGATATGAGACATTTCCATGAATAATTTCTCCCCTGCACAATTGAGTACAATGCATCGTGCAACCTCACATTCCTATATATTCCTTCTCATTCCCTCATTCAATATCACATAAAGGAGTAAATACTGGAGGATATCGACTACATTGCTGTCTTTAACTGATCTTAAAAGTCACATAATGACTTTTCGCGATAAACTGACGACATTTACTTCATTCTTGTTTAACTTAATATATTTTCCTAATTTTCAGAATGCAGCTGTACGTAGTCTCTACCCTTACTGTGGCTATGTTTGGAGGTTTGCTGACAACACTTGTAGTGACCACGTTCGGCTATCTCTGGCTCTTCATCTTGTGTATCGGATTGAACGTTTTGGCTTTGATTCTGATCGTGATCTTGGTCAAGAATAAGGGATACGACCGCAAGACTTTCAAAGAATCAACGGATAGCTTGAAGAAGGTTTTCAAGTGGAGAGAAAACGTCACAGTGCTTTGGTTTATGCTGATCTGTTTGGCAGTAGCTCCGATCATATTCACCGGTAATTATTTCTTGTTATAATTGTGAAATTGTGTTGCTATATTGTAATAATATTTTTTTTTAAAATATGGTAAGGATATATGCGGAGTCACTGATATTGACTTTTTATCAAATTATAAACAGACCCCGAAGACTTTGTGAACCTAGCTTCAAATCATCGCAACCTATATTTTTTTTAGTGATGTAGAGATGGTTGACCATGATATAAAATGAGAAGGCGTTGATCGGGGGGTGCGGTCAAATAAACACTAAATCATAGAAATAGTATTATTTAATTATTATGCCTACGTTTCGACCCACCTTGCAGGTCTTCATCAGGGCTACGAAATATAAAAGGTACATGGTAAAAATAAAATAAATGAATAATAAGTAGATATTAAATAAGGAACAGTTGTCTGAATAAAGAAATAATAAGATGATATCAGAGATATAGTGGGTGACAATGTAGTTAAAATATTATATATATAGAAGATACAAACAAAAAATAGAAAATAAGAAATTTTCATTTCTTATCTTTTATCTGTTTACTTTTAACTTACATACTATATTCTTCTTTGCTTTCTATTTTTAATCATACTTATTTTCTATTTTTTTTTTTATACATCTTCTATATATATAACACTTGATATTTTAATTACATTGTCACCCACTATATCTGTGATATCATCTTATTATTTCATTATCAGACAATTGTTTCTTATTTAATATCTACTTATTATTCATTTATTTTATTTACACCATGTACCTTTTATATTTTGTATCTTTTGTAGCCCTGATGAAGACCTGCGAGATGGGTCGAAACGTAAGCGTAATAATTAAATAATACTATTTCTATGATTTAGTATTTATTTGACCGCATCCCCCGATCAACTCCTTCTTATATATTTTTAAGTGAACACTTTTTTTGTGGAAATTGAATTATTTTGAGCCGTCAGATCTCCGATGTGTAACGCCCGAATAAAGTCGGCTTGGAGTCGATTAATTGAAATGTTTTAGAATATGGATTAAAATAGCTCAAAAACTGAAATTCGGGCCTAAATATTGTTTGCGAGGGAAATGTTCATGAATTCATTCCCTTTGTAATGAGTTTCAAATGAGTCAAAATTTTATCTTTTAGTGACGCCATTTTAGAGAGGAGAAAATGGAAGAAATAATGTCGAAAACCAAATGATAACGAGTTTAATTGAAGATATGCATAAAATTATCTCAGAAACTAAAAATCGGACCTGTATACTGTAAGCGAGGAAATCGTTCAGCATTTCATCCTATTTATAATGTACTATTAATAATAACTTAATTTCATGTTATTAATCTAGCCTTATTGATGTTTTCAATTCTGTCGTGTAAAGCACACACCTTTGGTTGTTTATTTTAAAAAAATTGTCGGAATTTGGCGTGTTTCCAATATGGATATTGGCAAACTTTGCTATACAATGTACCCTAATTTAATGAAAGCTAATTTGTGCCAGTAAATAATTACCCGTTCTATAAAGATGAGTTTGTGTTCGGGAAGAAATTCATTTTAGAGAGCGCTGACAACGAAGGAGATGTTGAAAACGATGGAGAATAAATGTAACTAAATGAACAATAACAAGTTAAATTTTATATAATTTGAGATAGATGAATTCTATGAAAGTGGTGGACTGGTGAATATTTTTACTAAACTAGAACATATCTCTTTAGAATAAATTATATGTACATCTCAAATTTGTTATTTACAAAATTATTTTTCTAATTTTCATAGGTGAGGCACTCCACAGTGGAAAATTCACCCAGATAAAGTTCCATTATTCAATGTATCAAGGCCAGGTCTTAGGGCTTTTCTCTTTCCTGATCGCCATTGTCGGTAATTATCAGTAACAGCATATTTCAATTTAAAATAATAATAATATTGTTAAGAAATGGTAATCGATTTCAATTCTTTAATACAGGATCGGTTGTGGGCCCGACAATCCTCAGGAACGTGTTCCATTTTAAGGAGCTGAGCATAGGAATCGTAGTCTGTTTTGTAAACAGCGCTGCAGCTTTTATGCATGCCTTCATCAACACCGAAGTCTTACTGTATCTTGGTAAGTAACTAACGTTTTTACTTTCACTTACCTATATTTTATTTTATTTTATTTTATTTTCCTCGCTGCCCTGCCTTTAAGACAAAACGGGAATTTGCAGCAGTGAATTGATACACATTGCATAACAAATCACTGTTGCAAGTTTATCTTTTTACATTTTTACATTTACTCCTTCATAACTTATCTCTTATTTTATCGTCCTCCATCTTCTTCTTCTGTCCTAATCGGCGGCCTTCCAGGTACTGCTGCTTCACGCCTTCCCAAGGAGAAGTGAGTTAGGCCCACAGTTTTTTTTCCTCCCGCATACAAAATCTTTAAAGTGCGGGTAGTTTTGTTGAGACACCAGTTGGGGTAATTGTCTTTCTGCTAGAACGTAAAGCCCTGTATCCCTCATTGATTTGGCCCTCAATGCCTCATAGCAGGTGCAGGCTTTTGTTTAAAAATTTTCGCTCTGAAACCCCCATGCCCCGTGAGGATCTGTGCGACCCAGTAGTACGGGAGGACCCATTTCTTTTCTAGGCGCGATTCAACGGTGGAAAAGAAATTTCTCAGTGTGGACCCGTTAGGGGTTGTCATCCACTGCCAATTCCATTGTTCCAATGTATCCTCCCGGAGGATCATCTTCCATCTTCTGGGGTCTTCACAAATCCTCTCCTGAATGTTCACTGGTAAATCCGCCATGCCATATAGTAAAGGAAAACATTGCGATCGTGAAAATTTTCGAATCTTAGTTTTCAACGGAAAATACACCTTTTGAGTTCCCCTGAGTCAAAATAACCAAGTGTGTGTATGTATGTGAACAGTCTAGCTCAACAACAGATAGTCGTACAAAAGGGAAATTGCGTATTTAAGATTTTTATAGGCTTTTGATGTTACTGCTACATTTTCGTCTAAATCGGCAATCCGGAATTTGTACTTCGGGTTCACCAAGCCTTTCATTATTTTTTATAACACCTTCCAGCAATGAAGCTGATTTTGTTGCCCATTTACACAAAGTTTGCAATAAGTACTAGAGAGGGTCATCGACAGTCTATAATATCGATATTTTCTTCCCATATTCGATATTTTACCATCGATAATTTTCAAAAAGCTCTAGGGATTGTATGAGAAGCTAATAAAAAAAAACTAGAAAATGGGATGCAAGTGATTTCGCTGAATTCGATCTATGGTTGAAAGGAAGGCATAATCGGTTGAATGAAAATTCATGGTAAAATGCTGAGGATGAAGAAGATGGGCAGGAGCTAGAAAATTAATTTTGTTAAGGAGGGTAGAATTGAAGTCTTTATTAATTAATTTGAAGAAGAAGATGGCATCTTTTTTTGATGCGCCTATGTGCTAGAGAATAGGGGAGTATCGAAGGCCCAAATCGATATTAATGTGGCCTTTAAATATCGATACCATCAAAATATTTGACTTGAAATATCGATAGTTGATATTTTCATCGATATTATAAACATTTTTAAATATGAATAGGGGCTTCCAAAGTATCTTATTTTTCTCTTAAAATTGATTGTTTGTTTTTACTTTCACTTACATATACATGAAATATAAGGTAAAGGAAAGTATTGCAATCGAAAATTTTTTTGAATTCAGTTATCAACGGAAATACACGTTTTGAGGTCCCCTGAGTCCAAATAACCAAGTCCCGCAAAATGGTATATGTGTGTGTTAACAGTGTAGCTCAAAAACGAAAAATCGTACGGAAGTGAAATTGGATATTTAAGGTTTTTATATAGTAGGGATGTTACAGTAACTTTTTCGTCAAAATTGGATTACCGGAAGTGCCACTTTATATAATGGACTAAACATATTTTTACGATTATCTCGAAAACCTCTCCAATCAACGATTTTGATTAAATTACCTCAGTGTAAAATCAAGCAGCTTTAAATAAAATGTGGTTATTATTCTGATTGATGTTCTCTAACAGGACTTAAATAGCTAATTTTCAATATTAGCTTCCTCTAAAGTACCTTTATTTTTTTTTTTATTTGAAGCAATTAACCATTTAACATTAATTTATAATATAAAAGATAGTTAAATATAAAATATGAAAGAATTTGATTATTAACTAAAAGAGAAATAACAGATCGTGACGGGGAATAGGTTAATTATTTAATATTTAATTGTATAAATTACAGTGGTATAAATATTAAAATTTGTATATAAGAGGGTACTTACACTAATAAAAATACCCACAATAAAATATAAATAAATATATATAATTTTTACTTTCACTTCGCTTTGTATGAAAATACTTATTTCTGCTAAGAAAAGGGTGGAAAGTGAAAGTTGTGTGATGCGATCACAACACCAATTTAAATTTTTTTTTATAACGATCGCATACATACATAATTCGTATCGTTTTCCGAAAACCTTAATTTTAATTTTTTAAATTAAAATATGGAAGGGACTACATCGATAGTCAATGATGTCGCAGTAGATACTGCCGATGGTAAAATTTCGAATATCCTTAAAGGAAATATCGATATGTTCATCTCTACTACAGAATCGATATTTATTTATTTATTACGGGTTTAAAAAACGTATCGATAAAAAGATCGACTCTACGTCATTTAGGTTATTATCGATATCAACAGATTTCTCATTCTGTACAGAATAAGAAAAAAATAAATAAATTGTATTTATTTTTATTTCATTTATTCCGACGTTTCAGCCTGTTTCAAAACTCAAGCAAAGCCAAGATAACAATAGAGAGGGAACGAGAATACAGTTTCGCAATTCTCCCAAAATTTTGAAAAAAATAAAATTAAAATTAGTAATAAAAAATCTACACGAATGAAAACGATATGTAAATACTGGCAAAATAAAGGCAAAAGATAAACAAATTAATTAAAATTGTGTAATTACCAAAATTTTCGTTTAAAAATAATACGATTTATAACAAAAACAGTAAATAATTAGTAGTTAGTATTAAGATACAATTCATCGACAAGTGCAGCCAAATATTTTAAGATTTTAAGATTAAAAAAAAATATATTGAAAATGTTTAGTATATTTTTAAAAGCTCAACTCATATAACACTGTCTCTTTTTTAATATATTTTATTTGCACATTAAAATTCTAAACGCTTTTATCAGAATGAATGAATAAGGTAGTAAGATGGTGTCATTCAGTAGTAAGGAGTTGTAATTCCATAATATATGTCCGTAAAATTATTTATTTTATTTATTAATGATATTTATGATGATCTATTTATGACATTATCGATATGGAGATGTCGATATCCCATCTCTGGTAAGGACTAAAGCAGGCTTTTTGGTTTCAATCACTGTATTGGAAGAATACATTAAGGATATATTTAAGGATTTAAAGGATACTAGTTGACCTGTGCGGATATTTCGCACAAACCTTATATTTGTATCAGATTTAAATACATAAAGGGCTCAGCATAAGTTTCTTTTTGTAATGTTTCTAAGCAAAGCTTTAATACTTCTATTTAGTAAGTTATCAGTTTATAAATATTATGATCTTTATCCATCCATTGTTTAACCCTTCCTAGTTTCATTCAATTTATAATTATAATATTATACTTTTCTTAATTTTACAAAAGCTTCTAAATATTTCCTTTAAATATCTTATGAAGAGTAAATACTTTGGATTTAGTGTTTCCCCTCTGCCACTAACTATTCATCCACTAAATCATTCATAACTCCTCAGGATGTTCTCCAAATTCGATGTAACTTTATCCGTTGGAAAGCTGAATTATTCCTCTTCAAAGCCGTATCAATGTTGTTTTCATTTAATGCCTACATAACGAATAAATAAAACTGCTTATAGGTTTTTATTTTTTATCTCGATTTGTAGTTTGTTTGCGAAGGTCCTGTTGGTGTTATTTTGTGTAGTTTTTTATGTGGCCCTAAATTCCTGCTAAATTTCTTGTAGGTAGCTAAAGACGTATTGAAGTTTAAAGTCCCTTCTCTCTGTTTTTGTGAAAAAAAAAATACATTTTTTGTTTGCTATGAAAATCCGTATTTGGTGGTTTTTTGAGATGCGAAATACATATATCAACTTGGTTTCTCCTTAAAAAAATATTTGAATCCACTTTGCTCCTTGGGTCGGTACGAATGGTCCCATTTCAACATTTTATCCATACTATAAAAATATGCCAAATATAAATTTGATGAAATAGAGCTCTCATGAGTAATATAAACTGAATATAAGTGTAAAAAAAAGAATAAGAAAGAAAAAAAAAGAAGAAAATATTTATATCAGGCACAACTGTTATCTATTTCGATGATTTTTTTTTTACGTTTTGTAGGGGATTTAGTAAGCTTTCATATATTCATATGCATAATGGGCCAAAAATTGTGTCCTTTCCAAGTTATTCCCCAATTTTTGACCCCATTTATAACGTCTCGATTCGTTGAGACGGCACTACCATACGGTTTGAAACCTCCCACTTTTACATTCACTTTTATTTAAGTCCAGGTATAAAATTAAGAATCAAAATTACGATTCACGCACTCTACGTGATATTCTCTTTCTATTGATACCTCATTCGTAAAAAATCCATCACTCCTGATTTTGACGGAGCCGAGAAAGGGATATATATATTTGAGAAATAATATATAAGATATTTAAGGATGTAAAGGATATATTTAAGGATATAAAGGATATATTTAAGGATATAAAGGATATATTTAAGGATATAAAGGTTATACTGAGTTATTTGATCGCAGGTGGCGCTGCCTACTTCTTGAAGCTGGCTGCATTGCCTCTGCCGAACAGCGTTATCACCACTATCGTCGGCCAAGATGAACTAGGTAAGAACAACTTGTATTATTATAATATATAATATATATTATATAATTATTATTATTATTATATTATGTATGATGTTTATAACCGATCGTAAACTCGTTGCAGGTACCTACCTCGGAATAAACGCCATCCTCACTTCTTGTATACCTTTCGGTATAACGAAGCTCTACCAAGAAGTGTCCACTAGAACCTTAGATACGTGGGTTGGTGCCTTCTATTTCGTATCTTCGGGCTGCTTTGTTTTGCTCGGAATTCTCTACAGGTAAAATACTATTATAAAAATTATTTTTTTAAAAGTTATTATTACACTAACACCTGTCAAAATCATAAGAGCAGATTTTCTATTCTGGTTGGTGGGGGAGGGGAGGAGGGTAATGAATTGCCCAAAATTGTCTTGGGAGTTCATATCATGTTCACAAATTAACATAATCAGACTCATTATTGCAACAAGAACACATATAAAGGCGGTTTTAGGGTTAAGTGGCTAAACTTTCATTCTTTACATGAAACACGATCTCCTATTTATCTTGACAAAGCCGAAATTCCGCAAACAGATAAAATATAATAACTTGGACTGATAATCAACAATAGAATGGCATGGGGTCCACATATAAACCAAAAATCTGGTGTGTCCACCCATACGCCTTTCCTGCCTATTGCAGAAAATTTTTATATCTTTACAAATGCCTGTAAAAAAAAAAAAATTGAATTAGATTTATTTCCTGAAAATTGATCAAAGAAAAGATTTGAGTACGATTTATTCGACAAACTAAACAAATGGAAACCGGTTTAAGGTAGATCAGTGAAAAAAATTTAATACTCTCTAATATTGCTGATCAAAAACATTTTGCCATAGCTTAATTTTGTCAAACAATAATTTCTGTTAAAAGTGGAGGAAATAGTGAAGCTTGTGTGATGCGGGCACAGATTTTCTTACTTTCAGTTAGTCATATTTTTTCTCTCATTCGCCCTTTCTGATACCAGGATATGAACTAGTAATCGTACATTGGAAATTGAAGAGCTTTAACTTCGTTAAAAGTTGTCCAAAATGAACGATTTTTATATAGTTGTGAAGGGAATTTCATTACCTTTCAAAATAACAGGTTTATATTTTAAATCCTACAAAATAAAACAGAAGCAAAAAAATCGTAGCAGAGAAAATCTTGGCACATACAGACAGACAGACATACCATTTTTTTTTATACCCTATACGGGATTTTCCCGGGCAGGAGGGTGAGGGGGGGAATTTAAAATCCCCTCCGGCACCGGGACGCGAACTCGTACTTTTTATATCATCTCAAATCTCTGTTATCCGGTTGCCAGGCAACTAGCGGTGCTGTTACACACGCTTTAGCCTATTCGGCCACCCCGCCCCCTTAGACAGACATACCAATGACTACTAGTATAGGTAGGAAAGTAAAATTCAGGCCAAGCCATTGATCCTGCACGACCATTGATCGGATAATTAACATTTACCCATTGTCAAACAACATTTAGTATGTATTTTAATGGTTAAATTTAATTAAGATTTTTTTTTATCATATTACTAATGATTAAAAAAAATCCAATAATTTTTTTTTAAAATTATTTTAATGGAATTTACAACTGTATTACACAGAGAATACAATAAGTAAATGAGAAATTTGTAACATGGCATGTACAACATGAAGAGAAACTACCCATTGGTAGAACTCAAATTAAAGTTCTATATTAGAAGATCCCGAGGCCATCTTCTTTTCAGACGCCTCGGAGAGTTATCAGGGATCGAGGAGGAAGCAAGGTTTAAAACGAGAGGATTCGGATGGTTCTGCAGTTTGTTATGGAAGGAAAGGTATCTGGATTGGGCCAGATCGGAAACATATGGAACATTAAGGTCTTTATGGATGATTTTATTTGTGACAAAGTAAGGAGCGTTGAGGATTTTACGAAGGATTTTGGATTGTAAGGATTGGATACGAGAGGAATTCGATGGTTTAGTGGAGCCCCAAAGCTCAATTCCGTAAGTCCAAATAGGTCTTATTATTGTCATATATACGAGTCGTTTATAATTGATTGAAAGCTTAGATCGTTTGTCTAGTAAGTGCTGCAGTAGTCGAAAACGTCGGGCGGTTTCTAGTCGTTTCAGTCTGGTATGGGGGTTCCAAGTGAGTCGTTTGTCAAGATGGAGTCCTAAGTAGCGGATTTGCTCAACAGGAATAAGTGGAGTATTATTGAAGGATAGTGTAGGACAAGAGGTCATAGGTTTACGACGGAGGGTAAAGGTGATTTGATTGGATTTGTTGGAATTTATTTTTAATCTCCCTGCTGCTCTCGACCAATCTCCGCTGGTTTTAGTACCAGTGACGCGGTTGGGAGAGTAGCGCAGGGTTCTCCTGGAGTTCCCTCGCCTGATTGTATATAGGTATGCATGTGTTTTTTTTTTTTTTTTTCTTAGTTTTAATTTTCTTATTTTTTAGGTTATTTTATTTTATTGTCTATTGTATATACTTTTGATTATTACTTTGTTCTATTTATTTTATTTGTTTGTACATATGGTGTGAATGTCATCCTACCTCACTATAACCAATGTCCAACAGACAGATTGTTATAATACTAAAAAAAAAAAAAAAAAAAAAAAAAAAAACAAGGCTTGTGATATGTGATTGAAGAGTTTGGGATGCAATTAAAGGATCGTTATTAACTGATAGGATACACGTGTCATCGGCATAGGTGGTGATGACAGTGTTGGATTGGGTTGGGATGTCAGCTGTATAAGCTGTGTAAATGATAGGAATCCAATAATTAGAATCACCTTTTATTTCTTTTTCTTTGTCACTTGGAAGGTAATGTTACTTTAGATGTATAATTGTTTGGAAATAATGAACCATTGTGAAATTATTTGCTGCGTTAAGCCGGGCTTACACGATCGGTTTTTCCGTCCGTTTTGAACCGACGGGTCAAATCGTCTGAAAACCCGATCGTCTGAGGGTGAAAACCGTCGGTTTGGACGGCGGGTAAAAAATCTGTTTGGAACAGAAAATAAACCCGTCGGTTTGGAACGATGACAGGCCAAACGGACCGTCTAAGTACACATCGTTCCAACCCGACGGTTTTTTGCTTTGCTAAGTCATATTTTTCTTTCAATTTCGATTTAAAAAACTAAAACAAGCACTATTAATGTCGATTTTGAGAACGTTGTTTATTACGAATGGAAATTGGCCTATCGAGTTTGTTGTTGCGGATAATACTAATAACTTATGTGCATTCTCAGGAAACCGAACGTTTATGGGAGAGATCCATCTCTCACTTCGCTTTCACTGCAGGTTTCCCGGATCATTTGTCCGAGGGTTGGGGCTGCTATAATTGTTGAAAACTTTAAGTCCTCGTAGTTTCGCCCTGTAGCCAGATAACGGAGAGTGGCTATCAGCCGGTCATGTGTGGAAATGGAGCCTCTCATAACAGTATCCACCCTTTTAATTAAGGGGGCCACTAAATTATGAAGTTCGAAATATGTTTCTCCATCTATCCTCGAATAATTGTGCCAATCGGCCGTCTCTAATTTCAACTCATTGAGAAGATTGGTGTGAGAAAGCGTTTCTCTTTTTAGCAACCAATCTTTGGCCCACTTGGCTCTTTTTCTAGATTTTTTAACCGCGAGCACCGTAGCTATCGCAATCAAAGGATCCATGATACTACGTTTCTTCTCGTCAGATATCTGAACCGACTAGTTTCCCCACCATTTTTCATCCGTTTACCCGACGGTTTAAACCGACGAAAAGAGTAGAACTTTTCTTCAGTTAAAACCGGCGGTTTCCCCTACCATTTTTCATCCGTTCACCCGACGGTTTGAACCGATGGTAAAAACCGAGCGTGTAAGCCCACCTTTACACTTTGTGTTTTCACCGACTGAAACATCCTACCAACTTGTGTTCAATTTATTTTAAAAGTTATTCGATATAAATTTTTGTAGAATTCAACATGATGTTAATCAATATATTGAAATGCAAAATTATCCTTGAATAATATTCTGTTTCAGTGTCAGTTACTGCTTGTATGTCGAACCTAAGAAACAAGGCAATACAGAGAGTACCGAAAACTTGAGGCGAAACTTAGAAACTGTTAAAACCATTTCACCAGAAGATAACATCGAGATTTGATAGATATTTAGTTTGACTCGATTCCAAAATGTAAATAATTTTATTTTTATTTATTATTCATTATTTATAATATTTAAAACTGTATTAAAGTAAAAAAAAAAAATACATCTAGTGAATGTGAACCGAGATATTAACTTTATTTTTATATACCAATTTTATTTAAATGGAATTAAGTAGATCTTTTAGGATATGTATATTAATAATTTATGTATATTCAAGGCTGTAATATTTATGTACATAATTTGTTATCATGATATTTTTTTATGTAAATAATCAACATTTATTTTTATAATAAATAAATAAAAAATGTGTACATAGAGCATACCCTTGTCAAAATTCTATGTAAAAAGTAATTACTAGTTCCTAGTTATATATAATGATTTTAAAATACAGGGTGTTTTAGTGTTACGTAACCAAACTGAAAATATGAATTTAGAACCTCAAAATAAGAAAAAAAAACTATGAAGTTATGTCCGCAAACGCTTTCTTTAGGAGATATTCGCACCTAAAGATTTTCATTGTTATGAATTATTTACGTTAATTATAGGTAAATGAAACTTATTTATTTCTTCCGATTACTTTATTAATTAAATTTATATAAAATGTTGTTCAAAGTGATTTCTTTCAGCATTAAGACAGGCTCGACATCTTTCTTCAACAGCAGCAGTGGCAGAACTGCACTAGATATGTGTAATTATTTCATAAGATTTAATTATCCTTCTTCGAAAGGAATTAAGGTCATTGACTGAACTTTCATAAACTTTTTGTTTAATGTTACCACAAACCATTGCAAAAACGGTATACTAACACCATATCGGCATATTCAATTGTATTATAAATGGAAGGCATAATGATGAGTACTCTACGAAAGCCTCTTACAAACTGATAAATGTTATTGAGAGTTCCCAATGCTAATTCGAAATAGTATTAATCCTTACGTTGTCAATAGTTTTTATACAGTTAGGGATAAAAGGCCATATTAGTATTCCATCTAATCCATCTCCTAAACGTTTGCGGACATACCTTCACTTTGAACAAGATTTATATTTAATGTTTATATTTAATTAATAAAGTAGTTAGAACAAATAAATAGGTTTTATTTATTTCATATAACGTAAATAATTCATAACAACGAAAATCTTTAGGTGTGAATATCTCCTAAACAAAGCATTGGGGACATACCTTCAGAGGAATTTTTTTTCTTGTTTTGAGAACCTTAGTTCATTTTTGAGTCAAGATTAATGACTTAACCACGTATAACTTTATTGTAATGTTTTGAGGATGCCAGTAAGCTTATAAACTTGTCTTTTTCTGCAAAAGAAATGTTGATCGTATGTTTGATGATCCTGAAGAGCCATAACACATGGATCTTGAACAGTTTTTTTGGAAAACGACAAGTTAGGGAACAGCCGGTGAACCGAAAAAGAAGTTTAAGGCGGCCATATAGGTATTTCGCCAAGATATGAGTTTTATATTATTTTTGTATATCTTATAATGTTAAACATTAATAATAACGAATAATTATTGAGGACTGATTATCTACAACTGCTTAGAAAAGCTCGCATTGTTGATGAGTTGTTAGAATTCGTCCACCATTGCTTAAACAATTGTGGATTGTTAATAAACAACGAAAATATTTTTTTTAAGAAAATATAATTATTAAAAAATGTATATATTTTTTTAAACTAAACCAGTCAGAAGTACTGGTAATTAGCGAGTCTGTTGTCGAGAAAATAGTAATAGTGGCTTGATCGGCGTGGGTGAACGGAGTGCCCAGTGGCATCCCTTCTTGACTTGAATTCTGTATATTCTTAGGTGAGGAGATCACTCAACCAGCTCGTTTTAAGCTGTTTAGATGTAGCTTTACATGTTTAGATCTTTATATGAAGTAAAGTTTTTGACTAAAAGGTTTGTAGTTTTCGTATGTGGCTCGTTTTGGCTGTTTCGTAGATTTGAGAAGCGTAGGTCTAAGTAGGCTTTAGTAGATAAATGTAGGTGTTCAGTTTCTATGTTATTTTCGTTTTGAGCTCCTTGAAAGAAGTGAGTATAATTCTGAGGTTTAACGTATTCTGAGGTTTAACGTTTTTCTTTTTTTTTTGTTGATATGTGGATTCCGTGTCATTATTCTGTTGAATATCAGTATATAAGCCAATATTTTATATTTTATCTGTTTGTGGAATTTCAGCAGTTAAGATAAATAAGAGGGCAAGTTTGACGTTTTAGAGTAAAAGTGTTGTGATGTGATTTGTCTATTACATAAAAATATATGTATAAGGAAAATTATATATGTAAATCTTCGTCGACAAATGTATTCTAAGAACTCTTACTCCACACCATTCTTCTGCATCCATGTAACATTTATTAGATTCCGTAGTTACTATTGATCGTTAACAATTTTCGTATATATGTAAAACTATTGAAATAAGCACAAATATTTTGTCTGTACATTCAATAGAATTTATCCGTTTCGTGACATATTTCCGTTTTATACATTACAGACACCAAATCCACTTAAAATCTGCCTGAATATCAGCAATAACCAACGGAATTTTGTCGAGGGTAAGTCCAGCAATGGATAATGATAAATTATTTGAAATTTAGACTTTATATTTAGATTTGCTTGACTTAAAACATAGGCTTTAAATGAAAACAAAATATTGAGTAGAACCAAAGTCATGAATTCTTGAGTAATTTGTCTAGAGATCTCGGTTGGGCAGTTACTCCGAATCTCATCCCATGCTATTCTACCGCGAGATACATTTATAAGTTGTACTCTTCAACTGATGGAAAAAATTATCACAACTCAACGAGAAAAATACAAAATACCGAACATCTGTAACTGTTGTCGTATAAATTCTTAGGACTAACCAAACGGATTAGCCGAAAAAAATAACAATACATTTCATCCCGCTTGCCACAATACTCAGATTAAGTTCTAATTTTACACGGATGTAGGTGACAATGTTTAATGTTAGTCAAAGCTAGTCGAACTTCAGGGTAATTTTTGTTCCATTTAAAAAAAAAAAAATTAGATGTGTTTCAAGAACAAGTCACCGTATCTTGATTTGTTTGTTTTGAGATGTCTCGTGAGGAAAAACAAATATTGTCAAAGTCATATACTGAGAGCGAGTTTAAAAAGCGAATCACTTGTTAAATAAATTGTTTGCTTTGATTAAAATGTTTTATCTAACTAGACATCTGATGAATACTGATTCCGTTTTATTTCTTATTTTCAGTTTTAATTTTTCAAGTGAGCTCTGTTAAAAAATCTATGGATCCTTACAATAAATTACTCCAATGTTTAAGTATATATATTTTTTATTATTTAAAAAATCGTTAAAAAATGAATTGGTTTCTATTACACGATCTTCGTCTGTTATTTCTATAAGATGGTCAGTATATCTTCGTTAATTATTTGTCAAATTGAACCATAATTTCGAAATTCTTACCCTCTTACCCTTCAGGGCAGAAAAATCGGCAAATCTCTCCGAAAAGATTTGAGAAAAGAGGATATCGACTGCATCAAAAGATGGGCAGAAAGAAATTAATTAAAGGGTACTAGTTCACAAGAATTCCGCACAGATTACGCATGGTTCACAATCAGTTCGGCCACACTAGTTCATGGAATCCCGATTGCATTCGGGTTTATCCGAAAGAGAACGAAGGCGAGCGATCTCTTGGGCCAGTCACTATTAACTTTCCCGCCATTTAATAAGTACTTCTATATCCTTGACCATTTTCAGTTCTATAGCGGGAGCCGACTTACATTCGATATTTAGGCTACAAATCATGAAACCTGACTTTAACTTGTACATATATTATTAATAGTAATAGATAAAAACCTTTAATTATTACATCTCTGAATGCTATTTCACGATATTATTTTTCTTATTGATGATTTCCATTATTCATTATCTTGGAATTATAAGATAGTCTTCGTCAGTTGTTTCCCCAATACGTTAATTCCTTTCTTGAAAATAAACACTTTTTTTTTTGTACTAATGACTACAATAAACCTCATTTTCCGATACCAAAAAAAAATAACTGCGAATAACAATAATTACACAGCTAATTGCTTCAATAAAAATAATAGAGATTAAAAGGAAAAAATAAATTTTATATTAACAGTTAACTAACTAGCAGATCTACGAGTCTCGTTGGGATTGGACATTTTTCGAATAAATATTTATCTATATGACGATTGATAGATAAATTTTATTTTTTAATGTTGTACACTTTTCTCGCGCAATCTTTAATCTGACGTTTTCATAAAAAGCGTCCTTGACAACTTAATAGTGGACTCTTATCCATCTAAGAAATCCAAAAATCTATAAAAAAAAATCGTCGAACAATTTTAAATCCGACAGTATATTCATAAAAAGCTCCGATGGCTAGAAAATAGAGGATCCGTATATCTAATAATTTGTAAAGCTAAGATCAATAAGTCAGTTAAGGGTTTCAAATCCCGAATTAATTAAGCTCTATACGAAAAACAAAAGTTTCTGCTTCAAAGCCCAGGAAACCTGCACTTTCTGTAACCAATTCATTACTAACAGCCTGTTCCATATCCTTCTGTACTGTGAAAAGCTAACAGACAACAGACAAAAACATTTACGAGCATTTCTTTCTGCGGCAAGTGATGTAAACAAGATACAAGGCATACTTCGAATCGATATCATAGAGAAACTTATTAAAATTTACTGGTTCATAATGTCAGCGTGCAATTCACTGGATTCCTTAAGCTCTGATGGTCCACACACCAACCAAGTGCTATGACTAAGGATAATTGTTGGTCAGTTCAATTAATTATGTGTTTCTTTTTCTTTTTTTGTTTTATTGATAATGTATATAGAAATTAATTGAAATGTAATGAAGTATTATTTTTTCGTTATTGTTTTTATAGTAAGTCAATGTACAGTTATGATAAACTAGACTCATGTAGGTGAAATAAAGTTATTCATATATGTATCATTTCTACAAGATTGTAAAATAATCTTAAAAAAAATAAATTCAATTCTATTCTATTCTAT